GCCATGGGCACAATCGGAGAACACTGTATAAACATCACAGGTCCGCGGTTGTTTAACGTCCTCCCAGCGACTATAAGAAGTATTGCCGGAACAACTGTGGACATCTTCAAGAGAAAACTAGACTTTTCTAAAAAACGTGCCGGACCAATCGGGCTGTGGTGGGTATATGGGCCTGCGGGCCGCTCCAAGGAACAGCCTGGTGGACCAAACTCTCACAAGTCAAGTCTGGCCTCAGGCTGGGCTTGGGGAGTAGAACAACTCCCAGAACCCCATCAAGTGGTTATCAAGCAGGTAACCATTGTGATGGGATTCCTGGATTTGCAAGTTCTTGTAATCCTTCCGATCATTTTTCTGTCACAATATTTGCTTGGTTATGCTTCCTAAACGTTAGGTAGTCAGACATCATTATTCCCAAATCCTTTACATGATGCTTTCCTATTATGGGCACATTTGATTGTGTTTTGTACCCTGTATTATGTTTAGGGTCCTAATTTTTACCATACCTGGAATTTATCACTGTTAAACATCATTTTATTTTTGTACCTTTATTTTTGGTTACATGTACCTTTTGTCATGTTCGTATTGTACCTTTAATTACAACTGTAGGTACGTACATTCACAGAGGACAACCAAGAAATTAGTGAAATTATAAAAAGCCAGTATGAGGCTGTTTAGTATACCAATAAACATGATGAAAGTTGAAGATTTGATTTTTTGGGTGGGGAGGAGGGGGAGTAAAGAGGCTGGAGAGGAATAGGTGAAGGGAAGTTTAGAAGTGGGAAATACAGTGAGAATTGAAGATACAGTGAAGATACAGTGAAAGTTGAAGATCGGACAGCTTCTTTGAGTGACATCCAAGCTGCAGATAATGTAACGGATATTAACACGAACTCAGAAGACTTTGAGAAAAAGAAATTGACATGATGTCCATGCACTCAGTCCCTGGTCCTTACTCATGGAATTCAATATTCATAAAGAAATGTAAAGTACCAGTAACACGAGTGCTCAGTGTAAAATGGAGAAAGAGCCTGGATACAAGGGAGATACCAGCAGCACTTAAGCTACACAACCTAGGACAACATGGATTTAGAGCGGGGAGATCTTGTCTGTCACAGTTACTCAACCACTATGACAAAATCACAGAATCCTTAGAAGAAAAGCAAAATGCAGATGTTGTATACACAGACTTGCAAAGGCATTCGACAAATGTGACCATGGAGTGATAGCCCATTAAATGAGATCACTAGGAATAACGGGTAAAGTGGGGCATTGGCTTTACAACTTGCCAAACAGAATGAAGAGAGTGGATGGTCAATCAAATAAGATACAGTCCAAGTGCAGTGAAAAGCTCTGTACCCCAGGGCACAGTCCTTGCACCACTGTTATTTCTCATTATCTCGGATATAGACAAAAATACTAGTCACAGCTTAGTGTCATCCTTTGCAGGTGATTAAAAAATCATATTAATTAATAAGGTCTTCGATTGGGCAGCAGAAAATAACATGATGTTTAACGGTGGCAAGTTCCAGGTACAGTATTTAAATGAAGTTTAAACAACAATAATTTAAAAGGCTGGATGTTTATGAGTTTACCTCTCAATACTATACAGTTTGGGTTAATGTAATATCAGTGATAGTGATACCTGTATGCAGTTATTATTAAAGTTAAACAATTATAGATTGAAAAGATGTGATAAATTAGAGGGAAATTTTCACTGTAAATTTTTACTAAGGTTAGCCATGAAATCTTTGTAGGCTACATTTTAGGCTAAGTTTTTGAAACAATTTGTTCTACATTGCCCTGCATTTAATTTAAACAAACATTCATGATAATTCTGGTTAATTGTTCAAACTTCTTGAGTAACGTGTTGGTCCTGGACAGGTGGAAGTCACGTGACCTTGGGTCCACGTGTTGGTCCAGTGCCAGTTGAAGTTGGTGAATTTGGAAGGGGTGTGTATTCACCTAGTTGTGCTTGTGGGGATTGATCTCTGTTCTTTCAGCCCCGCCTCTCAACTGTCAATCAACTGTTACTAACTACAGTACTAACAAATTTTTATTTAGGTTTTCCACACACACACACACACTCCCCCAGGAAGCAGCTCTGTAACAGCTGTCTAACTCCCAGGTACCTATTTAATGCTAGGTAACAGGGTGAAAGAAACTTTGCCCATTTGTTTTTGCCTGGTCTGGGAATCGAACCTGGGCTACAGGATTACGAGTCCAGCACGCTGTCCACTCAGCTACCGGACCTCCTGTATTCACCTAGTTGTGCTTGCGGGGGTTGAGCTCTGCTCTTTCGCCCCACCTATCAACTGCCAATCAATCAACTGTTAATAATAATTTTTTTGTTTTTTTTTGTTTACACACACACACGGGAAGCAGCCCGTAGCAGCAGTCTAGCTCCCAGGTACCTATTTACTGCTAGGTAAAAGGGGCATCAGGGTGAAGGAAACTGCCCATTTGTTTTTCTGCCGGCTGCCGGGATCGAACCCTGGTCCCTAGCTCCACGAGTCTTAGAGCGCTGTCCACTCAGCCAGGCCCCCCTACACACACGTGTGTGTGTGCGTACTCACCTAGTTGTACTTGCGAGGGTTGAGCTCTGGCTCTTTGGTCAAATACTCAGGCTCTTTGGTGTAATTACCTAAGTGTAGTTACAGGATGAGAGCTACGCTCATGGTGTCCCATCTTTTCCAGCACTCTTTGTCATATAATGCTTTAAAAATACTGATGGTCTTGGCCTCCACCACCTTCTCACCTAACTTGTTCCAACGGTCTATCACTCTGCGAAAGTGAATTTTCTTATTTCTTCGGCATCTGTGTTTAGCAAGTTTAAATCTATGACCTCTTGTTCTTAAAGTTCCAGGTCTCAGGAAATCTTCCCTATCGATTTTATCAATACCTGTTACTATTTTGCATGTAGTGATCATATCACCTCTTTTTCTTCTGTCTTCTAGTTTTGGCATATTTAATGCCTCTAACCTCTCCTTGTAGCTCTTGCCCTTCAGTTCTGGGAGCTATATCTCTTTCTTTATCAGAATTCTTTAAAGATTTCTCACGTAATATATAGGTTGTGTGGGGTGTGTGTTCTCCTATTCCACATTCCATAACATGGCATTTATTAACATTAAATTCCATTTGCCAAGTGTTGCTCCATATACTTATTTTGTCCAGGTCATCTTGAAGGGCATGACAATCATCTAAGTTTCTTATCCTTCCTATTATCTTAGCATCATCAGCAAACATGTTCATATAATTCTGTATACCAACTGTGTGTGTGTGTGTGTGTGTGTGTGTGTGTGTGTGTGTGTGTGTGTGTGTGTGTAATTACCTAAGTGTAGTTACAGGATGAGAGCTATGCTCGTGGTATCCCGTCTCCCCAGCACTCTGTCATATAACACTTTGAAATTACTGACGGTTTTGGCCTCCACCACCTTCTCACCTAACTTGTTCCAACTGTCTACCACTCTGTTTACAAAAGTGAATTTTCTTATATTTCTCCGGCAGCTTTTTTTGCGAGTTTAAATCAATGACCTCTTGTTCTTGAAGTTCCGGGTCTCAGGAATTCTTCCCTGTCAATTTTATCGATTCCTGTTACTATTTTGTATGTAGTGATCATATCACCTCTTTTTCTTGTCTTCTAGTTTTTGCATATTTAATGCCTCTAACCTCTCCTCGTAGCTCTTGTCCTTCAGTTCTGGGAGCCACTTAGTGGCATGTCGTTGCACCTTTTCCAGTTTGTTGATGTGCTTTTGAAGATATGGGCACCATGCAACTGCTGCATATTCCAGCTTTGGTCTAACAAAAGTTGTAAACAATTTCTTTAGTATTTCTCCATCCATGTATTTAAAAGCAATTCTAAAGTTAGAAAGTGTAGCATAGGCTCCTCGCACAATATTCTTAATGTGGTTCTCAGGTGACAGTTTTCTATCTAGAACACCCCTAGATCCCTTTCTTTGTCAGAATTCTTTAAAGATTTCTCACATAATTTATAGGTTTTGTGGGGTCTATGTTCTCCAATTCCACATTCCATAACATGGCATTTATTCACATTAAATTCTATTTGCCAGGTGTTGTGCCATATACTTATTGTCCAGGTCTTCTTGAAGGGCATGGCAATCATCTAGGTTTCTTATTTTCCCTATTATCTTAGCATCATCAGCAAACATGTTCATATAATTCTGTATTTCAACTGGTAGATCATTTATGTAGACAATGAACATTATCAGTGCGAGAACTGAACCCTGTGGTACTCCACTCGTGACATTCCTCCAATCCAATTCCTTTCATATATTTCACAAAACTTGACATACATCTCATTTACTTCCTTGCCTAGCAACAAGTCTGTCCAATTATACTCTAAAAATTTTTCTAAGGTCACCATATTGTCCTCTCCTGAAGTCAGGTTTTTCAACCGCTTCAACCTCCTTATTTTCTTCCAGATTATAACGCATTGCATACTTTAAACCCAAAAAGACATGGTCACTTTCACCCAAGGGAGGAAGGTACTGAATGTCACACATTTCTTCCTCCTTCCTGGTAAATATCAAATCTATCATGGAGGGAACGTTCCCCTTCCCTCATCCTCATAGCTTGTTTAACATGTTGATACAAGAATGTTTCCAGGATGAGATCTACAGGTCCAAAAATCTTCTGTTCTAGCTGCATATGCTTCCCAGTCTATGGATTTCAAGTTGAAGTCCCCGACTATCAACAGTCGTGATCTATCTTTATCCATTCTCGCTATAATCTCTCATTATTGTTATAAGACCCCTCTTGTTTACTATATATCTCCTCCTTTGTCCATGTGTTGCTTGGCGGTGGACTATATGCATTTATGATCATAAGTTTATCATCCTCTTGCAGATCTTTAGTGCTATTACGTCAACCTCTCGTGAATTGGCTGTCTATTGGCCAATAGATAGAGTTTGTGTGTGTGTTTGGAGTTAGTGATTTGTTTTGATTTTGAATGAATTGTAATATTTAATTTATATGCCTTTCAGTCGGACCGGCCTGTTATGCTACCCCATGGCACGAGGAGACCGACTATAATGGGACCGTATGGGTAAGATGCCAAACAAATTTTTTGTTGTGCCGTGGTTATTATACAATTTAGATGTGGTACTCAAAACAAAAAAAGTTTTTGGGCATTGTTGTAACAGTGCAAGTATTTTGCACTCTTTCATGTATAATTGTAAGTTATAATTGTGGGTGGGTGTGTGCGTATTGGTAAGGAGCGAGATGGTATGAGGGAGGTGTTGACTAGCTTCAATCTGCTGACATGGTAATACTTAGGTTGGTATGGGCTAGCTTGGCCTGTCCCAGTCCTTATTAGGGTATGAGGTAGAGTACCCAGCTTCCCCACGTTGGGGGTGGCTGGTAGATTCAGTTAGCGACCGCCTTGCACAGAGAGGTGACCAGCCAGATTTCCCACCCTGACGGGTGACAGCCAGTCACCCTCAGGGTGCATCCGTCTGATTTAAGAGGTAAAAGTACCAGTTAATCTTGACCAGGGTGTCTTAGTGGTGACGAGTGTAGTCTGAACCAGGAAGCCAATGTATGGTTGAGGATGTTGAGGATTGGTAGATTTCTTGGCTTGATTAATTCAGGGTTAAATTGTAACACCACCTTTTTTAATCTATTCTGTGATGGTGAGAAGTAAAGCAAAATACATAGGAGGAGGAGGGGAGGGAAGAAAAGAGAGGGGACAGATATGGATAAGGTTGAGGGGGAACTCGTCTGTGGGGCAACAGAAAACGAGGGGCGCATGGGAAGAGGACTCTCGTTTCCTCACTTTATCTCTACGTTTAAGAGTTTAAGACTAGAGATAACTAGATGGAAAACTCGAGTAGAGATAAAGTGAGGAAACGAGAGTGAGGCGCAGGAGACGAGTGAGTGAGGGCCAGCAGTGAGGCGTGCGGCTGCTCCCTCAGACCTTAAATTAAGCAGTGTTCCTGTCGCATTGTTTAAGTTGAATTAAGATTTAGTTTGCAAATGACAGGTGGTGACAGCTTAAATATGTAAAGTAAAATTAACATCGGTATAACATCATGGACAGAACATCAGTCAGTCTACTCTCCCTACTCCTACACTCACTCAAGACCTACTCTCCTTTCTCCCTCCTCGTCCTCCTCCTCCTTCTATTCTTCCTCCTCTCCCTACTCCCTCCTCCTCCTCCTCTCCCTACTTCCTCCTATCCCTCCTCCTCCTCTCCTTCTATTCCTCCTCCTCCTCTTCTCATGCGCCCCTCGTTTTCTGTTGCCCCACAGATGAGTTCTCCCTCAACCTTATCCATGTCTGTTCCCTCTCTTCTCTTTCCTCCCCTCCTTCTCCTTTGTATTTTGCTTTACTTCTCACCATAAGAGAGTAAATTGAAAAAGGTGGTGTTACAATGTTTTGTCTAATAATATTAGATTAGTCGTTGGAGGCTGGTCAATTTTCATTATAATAGCAGTTTCTTTTCTGGGGGGAGCCCCTTCGGGTCCCCGGAGCTTACTAGGCTATGCTAATGTCAGACTTTGGCATCAGTCATGTGTGTGGAGTTCTGGGGGCCTACTGGAAACCACGAGCCAGAACCTGGCCCCCTCAGAGAGGCATGGGGAGCAATGGCCTATAGAAACCCCTGTGTGGTTGGAAGCATTCTATGTCTGCCATCGACCGGGTCAGGCACCCAGAAAGGTAAGCATCCCAAAACAAACCCCCTATTGTGGTGGAATTATTGCTACCAAAAACCGAACAAGTGGATAGAACTCCCCCTAAAAGAAACGAGCAAACGATCATGACGTCACACGTCGTCGCGCCACTGTCTGCGCAGCTCCACCCCTCCCCAGGAGGGGAAAGGGGGAGCCCCAGACCCCTCACGCCGGCTATCCACCCATCAGTTCTAAGGCTGATGCTAGAGGCTGAGGTCGTGTTCTCTGGCTCCGGTGGTTGTTTCAGCACTGTACCTAGTGTGTGGTGACTGTCCACTAGGTGGTGCAACGCGCTAGGTCGTTTGCTCCCCAGGAGCCCCGGGGCTGCCTCGTTTTGGTTGGTGTGATGGGCTTGGAGGTGTTGGGCGCTTCGGTTTTGTTCCTTCCACACCCCTTTGTCTTTTCCCTGTTATGGTCCCTTCCCCCCCCCTTCCTTCCTGCATCTGAATCCTTACTGTTTGTGGGTTCAGGGTCGGGGCGGGGCTTCGCATGTCTTGAGACTCGGGTATTCTCAGGGATTTCGCCCTTCCGGGGTAGCGACGGAGGCATTCGAGCCTGTTTCTCCAGCCGTGTTGTATGAGTCTGCCAGTGGGCTCCCTTCTTTAGGGCTTGTCCGGTTGCCCGGGCTTTTCTTGTGAGGCTGGGGCTTTGGGTGAACGGTTCGGACCTGGGACCTGCCTCATGGTGTCCCAGGGCTGGTGAGGGGCTGACGTTCCCCCCCCCCCCTCTCTCCGTACATGTTTCTGGGAGTCGGCGGTTCCTTGTCCCTTATATCCGTCGGGTCCGTCCTGTCAGTGGATCCGTTTTGCCACTCTTCTTGGGTCAGGCCTTCAGTCATGTTCGCCTCTTCTCGGGGATCTGCATGACTTTTGGTCTCAGGTGCGACTTTGCCTTCCGTGCCTTCATGCTTCGCGCTTGCTTCTTTATGTTCTAGAAGGATCGGGAAGGTTTTGCTTCTTCCCGTATTCTTGGAACATCTGTCGTCTTCTGGTCCATTCTGGGGTTTGTTGGTCCTTCTCCAAGCTTCTCGGTTTTTGGGCCTGTTTCGTTCTTTCTTGTTTGGCTCTTATCTCTGTGCACTTCCTGCGATGCACAAGGTTGCCGGATTGGGCTCCTTGTGGCCGATTGGGCTCCTTGTAGCCCAACTGGGCTCCTTGTAGCCCAACTGGGCTCCTTGTAGCCCAACTGGGCTCCTTGTAGCCCAACTGGGCTCCTTGTAGCCCAACTGGGCTCCTTGTAGCCCAACTGGGATGCTGTGCTATGTTTCTTTTCGCTTCTTCCTGCTCTTTTCGACTACAATTGGCGGCTGCCATGTGTACTCTCATATGGGATTCGGTCGTTGACAACACTGTTAATATTCTAGTCACATTCGTGGTTTCTTCTTCACCTCGTGACTTCTGGCGACCCACATCTGGCATCCCTGCTGCGCATGCGCCGTGGTTGTTTTGATAAGAGCGGTGTGCATGTGTGCTGGGGTGTTGCGTCCCTTTTCTCTCGGGTGCTTCACCTCTCGCTCTTCTCCAGTCATCAGTCCATGCCCCGTAGCTCCTGGGGGGCATTCCGATTTGCTGCTATGGGGAGGTCACAGGGTTTTCCCTGCGTATAGGTGTGGGGCTCCTCCTTCGCCTTTACCCTATTCTTCTCCTGCATGTGCAGCTCTGCCTTCTTCCACTGGCGGTGCTCCCGGAATCTTTCCGGCTACGTTGTGTAATGACACGTTCATGCCTACATTCTGCAGGCGAGTTTATGCAGTCTGGCATCTCTTTCAGCCAGGCGCTGGTTCGTGGTTTTGGGGTACGTATATAAGAACATCAGAAGACAGGTGACTGCAGCAGGCCTATTTGCCCTTTCGAGGCAGCTCCTATTTATACCCATCCAGTCCCACTCTGCATGTCCTGCCCATACTTGAGTCCAGATAGGGGCCCTACCTCCACCAGGTTACGAGGTACAATGGTGTTAGTATATGTTATGGGGTAAGTGTTCATGTCTGGATGTCCTGAGGTGACATTTTGCTGCAGTTTTCATGCTGTAGATGCGTGTTGTGGATTGGTTGTGGATTTTTGTTTGGCCGTTCCGTGCTTCCTTACCTGTTCCTCTAGGTAAATGGTTGCATGGGGGTCATGGCCCCATTTTTCGTAGTCTTATCTGGGTCTCATTCCTTGCACGTCTTGCAGTGCCAGTCCTTCTGTCCCTTCCATATACATTGGATTCTCTGTACGGTACTTACCTAGTTGTGTTTGCAGGTGTTGAGCTCTTGTAACACTGTAAAAGTGTTTGGTTTAGGTTAATACATACATAGAGTACATGAGTCACAGACTAGGATCGGAGAGGCGCCAGTTGTCTGCCTGAGATCTCACACCTCTAACCGTTAACGACCCCAAGTGACCTGAGGTCAGATCATGAGAATTTCACCTTGCTTCCGCTAAGCTCTTAATTGTAGTCTGGTAGCCTTCAAACAAGCCGACGTTTAAGGAGTGGCTTGGTAGTGCCGGAGGCTATCTATTTGTGGGCGGAGTTAGCTACTAGGTTCCCCAATATAAACTCGGAGAGCTATCCAGCAGAGAGCATTAAGAGACAGAACAGCAGACGACAGCAGAGACGACGTCCCTAGCAGGGAGGCTGTCGGCCGGCAGGGGCGAGACAGTCTCTGTCAAGCTACAGACCCCCCCCCCCCTCTCTATTCAACTTAGACTCAGTCCTCGGTGAGTGAACATTAAGGTGACTTGGTCGTGTTTACATAGGTTGTGTGATGATCAGGGGCAGTCAAGTTGTAGGGTTCTCGAATTCTTGGATGATGACTCACGTTGCATATTAAACTGGAACATTTTAATTGAATTGCTAAATTATGATACTTCATGTGAAATATAATTGTTGAATGTATTATTTAAATTGTGTTTAACTTTGTTCCCTAGAGCTTTGAGTTGAGGTGAGAAAGCCTCTGTGGTTATTGGTTTCATGATATTAATGAATACATGTTTGGAGTTGATACATGGTACAGAGGGAACATACTAATAATGAACTCATGATAACATCTTTTGAGAATTTTGTGATACAGGCAAGTTCCATTCCTTGTCTTGTATGTAATGATCATGAATGGATGGTGGCAGCATTTCGTCTTCTACTATCTACTCTTCTACTTCTATCTACTCTTCTACTTCTACCTATCTACACCTCTCCCTCCACCCCTCTCTGAACTCTCACTTTCAACTAATGACCCTCCTCGCTCCTCCCACCTCTCTCCCTCTCACCCCAAACCCTCACTAATTACTTCACTATTCATTTCTTTCCTTTCGTTTTCTCTTATACGTTTGTGGCAATGATTCTGTATTCTAGAGTTCTCTCTAGAGTTTCGGGTAACTGATCAAGTGACGGC